GAAACAATTCAGCAACAAAACCTCTCAGAAATATACAATAATGTCAACTGTATACTAAAAAATGAATTGGAAAACACAGTAGAATAACAAACTGTACATACCAGCGTGCTTTATTTAGCGCCGCTCACTACACAACAAGTTTCTCTGATCAACGAACGGCTGACTCTGCACGAGACCAGGTCAAACAAAAGCCTAATCCCCATCTACCAAAGAGGGCGCTCTACCGCAAACTGAACATAAAGAAATTTGGTCTCAACACGTAGTTGTACATAGTTTGGCGATATCATAATAAAGGATTACTGAATAGAAGTGTGGGTGTGCTTCCGAACTGGTTTCGTTTTAGGCAGCAATGAGTGCCATTCAACGATGTCGACATTTGGTAGAATTAACTTTCAGAATTCTGGATATTTGTTATAAAACGCCCCAAAACCTGGCTGTTGTTGCAGCGGTGAGTGTTAATCCCCATAATTTCCAGGTGGTTATTTAATACATTTTCCATCGCGGGGCATCCGAGTCTAGATAGCGTACAATGAACAACTAAACAACGAATTGTTAATTAATATCCCCGTCGAAATCATTTCCGATTCGGCAAGTCATTATTCTAAAAAGTAACTCCGGCGCACGGAGTAAAGTAAATTCGCCACTCGTGTTTCAGCCAAAGATTTCACCGCGCTTTCTTCAGGTGTGTGCCCCCATCCCATGCAACAAAGTAGAAATAACATCATACATCTTGTTATTTAACATACAATTGTTTGCGAAACTAAGCTACGCAAAACGTATGTATAAGATGAATTAAATATTAATATGAATTATAAACATAAACACAAATACCAGAGTTGAAAATTACAATCATGATGTCAGTCCGTAGTCGAGAGCAGGTTTTATTACAGAAACCGTGACTTTGTTTTAATTACCCGGATGTCGCGAATTTTATGTTGATGTGGTTAGTGACGTACTCGTAGTCGACGATACTTTCAACTTAGTATCATAGTTCGTGGTGACGTGGTATTCTGCAACATGACCGCGCCTCGCTTCTGGAAATGCTTGTAAATCGGATTTTCTGTCGGAGAACGGGATGTTCATCATTTCGAAGTAATAATATAAAAATACTCTCTTTTTGCATTTCACTACTATTGCGAATATAGTGTGGATAATATTCCACAAAATAAAACATGAAAAATTTCATAATAATTTTCAAAATGGTGATCAGGACATCAGCTGTATCCAATGGATAATTAGGTCCATCTAGTGCAAATATAGCAAAAAAATTGTAAATGAATTAAAAATTTTACTTCATGGTCACGTCATCATGTTTGCGGGAACAAACATGACGTTCAAAGAGTTAATGACGTAACTTGAAGAAAGGTACTTGTTCGAGTGGGTTGTCAGCTTTCAAATTCGCTCGATATATTTAGGTCCATGCTTTTCTATGTGACGTATTGTGATCCTGCAGATCAAACGATTTTATCAAGAAAGAAAGACCCCATTACTAAACGCATTAATCGTCGTGGATTTTAATCTTGGAGAACATTTATCTGACAAATACGTGCAGTTAAAAAGTGTTATCATAATAATGTAAAAGATTTTTGATTTATCATGATGTAAGAGATGTATTATTAATAGGTGATTTTCCGTACAATTGCGAGATCTCGCGAG